GCTCACCCCACCCTGCTTTGCAGACTTCAACTTCAGAGCCATAGAGCCCAAAATTGTAGCGGACGCTGTGGAACTTATCTGTGCATGCCCGGCAGGTAGCGGAGGTTGCAGTGGAAAGCGACGGCTCCGCACCAAGCTTCACCGCGCGTCTGAGCTCACAGGAAGTCCAGGGTATGCCGGCAGTGTTGCACTTGCGGGACTCGTCCTCGTCGTTGTTTTCGTCTTCGCAGCAGGAGTAGTGAGGACGAGCAGGAGCTGGGCCATCATCGGCATCGGTGCCATTAGGGGTGGGTTGTCGTGCAAGGTCGTAGGTTTGCAGAGGGTGCGGATCCAGAGCAGAGCACGTTCTCGGAGTTCTGTGTTTTTGGGGACGTGCGGGTTCGGGTAGGGCAGGTATTCGCAGAGGCCTGGGTTGTTGCGAAGGAATCACTATTTCAGCCACGAGGCACTGTCCAACATGTTCTGCCAACTCTCATTTTAGGAAGGGCCGCCCTTGCTTGACCGCGGGTTTGTTGCCTGTGAGGCTCGTCCTCTCGGTGTGAGGCCGTTTCCTGCCTTGAAGACACGAAGCGTTGATTGCAGAGTTTTGGTGTGTGTGATGGCCTGATGCAGCATGACACTAAAGCAAGGGTGGAAGGCGTCGGTCGGGTGGGCTGTTGCTCTTGACTCTTGACCAGGGATTTGTCGTCATTGACCTGCGGCATCTAACGCCAGCATCCTATGCAAAAAAGCTCTTCAGCGAGAAGAGGACACCAGGTGCAAGGTAAACTTCTTATGCGCAAGGGATGTTACATCTTACTGCCGAGGTATGGCAAGGCTTAGGTACTGACTTGTCCGTGGTACTTGTAGGAGGTTTGGGGCATGTGGGTAACGCTGCCATGTCTTCGTTGGGATGAGATCAGTTGAGGGCTCAGGGTTACTCTGACCTCCTGTTTATGACGAGCAGCGCCGGCAGCACCTGGTAGAAGCAAGGCTTGAACCCAACAAGTGGCCAGTTGCACCGGCGGGAAACTCCTCCGCCGGCACCCTCGCCTAGGCCCGAAGGATTGAACGTGAAACCCAAATCCGTACAACCGTATTTGGATTGTAGCTTCCACCGCCTCCCTGACGATTTGCAGGCACTGTCGCCTTCGCCTTCATCCACCAGAGGAGTTCGGAAGCCGGCGCGAAGTGTCGACACACTTCTGGCCGATCCGGCAGAGTTGGGATGCTAAGGCTTCTCACGGAGAGTCACGGCAAGGACATTAGCTTGTCAGATTCTGCTGCCGCCAGGCCGCCGCCGGCGCAGCTGTAGAGCTGCATTCCCAGCATCCATGAGCTGTGATGGCTCCAAGTCTCGGGATATCGAAGATTCATCGCACGTTACTTGGTGCACAAGGGCATGGGCATGCCCGGGAGAGCCGGTTTGGGACATGCTGCACTCTGCAGGCGCACTTCGCAGTGGATCGACTGAGCCACCAGTCTAATCAAGTCCCAAAGAGGATTGTCGGTTTTCGTTTTCAATGCCTTTAGATGTTGGGATCCTGTGGCAGGGCCGGTGGCGTTGAGAAATCTCCCCGCGGCTTTGCAACTGTGCAGCCCCAAGCCGGCCACCGACACGCTCTACCATACACCGGCTGCCAAGCCTCTGAGAAAGCAAGCTGCAGGAAATGAGCATATGCCCCGAGCCGCCTGCAGATATTTTGGAAGGTGAGGTCCGTTTTGCGGGCTGGGGGTTGCCGGTGATCTTTTAGAGATCGCACGACCAAATTCGCTACGGGAGCATCTGTGGTCCAGTCCTAAAGGGAAGGCGAGCACGGCAAGTACTGATGGGTTTGCGACCGCCATGTAGAGATGTACGAGATCTCCTGTAGCACTCTTTACTGCTATTTGTAGGGTGGATTAAGGCTTGTGAAATGCATATCTGCAATCGTGGAGGGATAAGGCTTGCGCAGAGCCAAGAATGAAATCGTGATCCCAAAGTTTGCCACGTCAGATCTGCCGTTTCTCCAGAGGCCTCAAGGCCATCTTGCAGGCATCTTGTACATAGTCTCTCAAGGCGAAAGAGGCGAAGGCAGCGCCTCAAAGGCTGTTCGGCTGCAAAGCATCAACGAAAAGCGCTCTGAAGTGTTCGAATGTGGACACTCGTAGGAGGAGCACAGACTTCCCTATGCTGTAGGATTCCGACGAAGAAGGACCCCCTTCCAGGTTCTCCAGACGGTCTTGAGATTTCAGCGGGTCTTTCGTTAGGACTGCTGCCCCGCAGAAGAAGACCACTTGATGGGCCACGGTTTGTTGGCCATTGCACCAGCATGCCAGGATGACCTTGTGCGTCGGATCGCCGAAGCCTGCTTTCTGTGCTTCTGCCGGCAAGATTGCCAGGAAAGTCAAGGAGGCCCAGTAGGCTTGGAGTAGGTCAGAAAGACCGTGCCCGATCTCAGCCATGCCATCCGAGCCTTTTGACAGCAACGAGCGGAGCGAGTCGCAAATTTCAGAGCTTTGGAGGTCGAGAGTCTAGATTCCAGACCGAGGAGCTAAGAGGCAAGCCAGAGCTAAGGTGCCGAACAAGATGGCATCTTCTAGAGATAGCGCGGACATTTCGGCTTTGACAGTCTTTCATCTGTTCTTCTCCAGCCTCGCACAAGGCTGCAGATGTATCTCGGATGGAAACCCCTTCCGCCGAGCACGAAATCAGACGACGACCCACCGGTCTCTAGCCAAGGTCACGGCGGACGATGAGCACTGCCGGTGGGGACAAGGGGGGAGGGTGGAGGTAGCCCAATGTTCTTCGCCAGTAAGGGTCTGTTCTCAGTTGTTGAGTCCGCGGCACTTCTATCCGAAATCAAAAGCCTGGCTTCATGTTTCTTGGGCCGCGTGAGTTTGCATCTAGCCGGTATGCCTTCATCTCCAGGCGATCTTCCAGTCTGTGAGCTGTAGCGGGGCCCATATTATCTCTGATACAACAGTTGAAATACTCGAGGCCCTCATTCACTTACAGCATTCTAGATGCTCCAGCCTTGCAACGTGTCTGTAGCGGCAGCTGTAGCGGGCACTGTCACTCTGAGAGTCGTAATGGCTAGGTCGTACTGGAGTTGTAGTGGAAGTTAAACTCAATATGTAATATATATATATATATTTATTTAACAGTATGGAAGCTCTGATTAAGCTGACCATATAATATGACATGACGTTATCGAAGCTCTGACAGCTAAAGCCTGCAAATCCCACGAGTTCCTGAAGCTGCAGGTCTCCGGCCGGAACCCCAGCTCTGTCGTGCCGGGGTTGGGCCCTTGTCCATCCATCTATCTCTGAATTAGTTGTATATGTGTATAGGTCTAGGTAAAGGTTTATGGATTTGTACATGTACTCATACGTATGAATGTTGTGTTTATGTAATCTGTATGTATGTGGGTATGTAGTGTGTATGTATGTATACGCATGTTTACATATGTGCACGTATGCATATGTATGTGCATTTGTATGTTTGTGCGTATGTATGTGTACATAGGTGTGTTTATGCGTATGTACACATGTGTGTGTATGCATGTGTGTATATGTAACTATGTACATATGAGTGTATGTATGGATGGCATTCGTGTTACATTTTTGTAGCATCAGAGTGTTATTATTAATCCTATTGCAATACAAGATTGAGTTACAGTATCACAGCATTATAGTAGTGCAGTGGTGTAGCATTATGGTATTATCTTGTTATCGTCTGATGGTGGTAAAGTAGACACGTACAGTATTCTAGTATACTAGTACTGCAGCATTGTCGCATTTTGGTACCAGAGCATTTTCGTACTTTATTTAGTATTATAGCCTTACAGTATTACAGCCACATGACAGCATTCTAGCATTATAGAATTATAGAACTATAGATGAAAGTCTGTTGTATTTTAGTATTTTCGTTGTTGTAGCATTCTAGTATGTATGTGTTTGCGTCTGCATTTATGTATCTATGCATGCATGCATTCTTGTGTAATATGTATGTATCTATGTATGGATGGATGGATGTATGTATATGTACGCATGCACGTATGTATGCATGTATGTCTGTCTGTATGTATGTATGTAACTATCTATGTACGTATGTCTGTATATATGTGTATGTATGTCTGCATGTTTTTGCATATGCCCCTTCTAACCATCTTCTTTACCTAGGTCTACCTAGATATGAAATATACAACTTGAATGGTCCATATTTACAGATACCTGCATCTACAAATGCGCGCAGTGCACAACTTTCCTCTTGTTTGCGCCGTTCGACCAGGATGGCCTCGGCCATCCTCTTGCTCTTCGGGGGCGTGGCCACCCTGCTACTCAGCCCTCGCAGGAACATTCTTGTATGTGGAAATAGGTAGCGTTGCTGTAGTTTTGGATGTCCACCATGACGGGCGTGAACGCTGTCATACTTCATTCCACAGCAAGCTCGTGAGCCGTCATTCTAAAGCGGCTGAGGTTCTGCTGGGTCGAGTTTCAGCATCTCGGCCGACTAAATGGATGCGAGTATTGCCACTTTGTGCTCTCATCAATGCAGCCGGTTGCGCACGTTTGAAAGAATGTAGAAGAGCGTCTGGAGTGACAAGTTCAGCTGGCCCTTCCTGCACAGAAGGCCCTCGGCTGGAGCAAAGCCGTGAGAAGCGTGAAAGGGGTTTTGGCCTCCAAGGCCCAGAGGGTATGGTGGCTATGCAGCAAGAATGGAAGCGGGTGGCATCGTCGCTTGGCCTTGGTTAGCTTTACACCAGCCGATGTGTGAACCGAAAATTTGAGTCTCTTCGTGCGTCTTCTTTCTTGCCGTGCTCCAGGTTGTAACATCTAGCATCGTTTTGAGATCTCATGGGGCTCGTAGGAAGCCTGTACGGCATCTTTCGGAAATTCCGTGTCGGTATCCATCTCACGGCCAAGATACCTTCTGTTGTGATATGTTGTGGACCTGGACACATGTGGGGGGCTGTGCTGACGAAGTTTGTATGACCGGGTCATCGACATGTGCTGGGCCCTGCAATGCTCATGCTGCCATGATGCAAAATCTAGCCAACATCCGGCAAGAGGCAGTGCTCGCACTACGGCAAACCTGGCATGATGTTTGAAGCCGTATAAGTTTCCCACGCACTTCATCCAAGGAGACTCCCGCGGGCAGACGCTTGGGCGAGCATCACCATATCATTCATCATGTTGAGCACGTGGTTGGTGATGATGAGTCCTCGCTGCCGCCAGAACATCTGTACCATCACGGACACGTGTACTCCGGTGCTGGTGGTGGTGATGGTTCCGTAGTATACCACCATTATGGACACATGTCCTCTGGTGCTGGTGGTGATGATTCCGCAGGATACCACCATTACGGACACATGTCTTCCGATGCTGGTGGCGATGGTTCCGCGGAATACCACCATTACGGTCACATGTACTCTGGTACTGGTGGCGATGATTCCGCCGGATACCACCATTACGGCCACATGTACTCCGGTGCTGGTGGCGATGATTCCGCCGGATACCACCACTACGGACATATGTACTCCGATGCTGGTGGCGATGGTTCCGCGGAATACCACCATTACGGCCACATGTACTCTGGTGCTGGTGGTGGTGGTGCAGAATACCAGGGCAGTGCTTACGGGGGCGGTGCTTATGGGGACGGTTCTGCGGAGTATCGCTCCGGTGGTGCTTATGGTGATGGGTCCGCAGAATATCATCATTATGGGCACATGTACTCCGGTGGTGCTTATGGTGATGGTTCCGCAGGGGGTGCTGCAGAGTATCGCTACGGTGGTGCTTATGGTGATGGATCCGCAGACTATGGGGACATGTACTATGGCGCTGATGGTGCTAATTCCACAGGGTTTGGCGCTTACAGCAATGGCTCCGATGGTCGGTATTCTTACGGCAGCGGGCGCTATGGCGGCAAGTACTACGCGGACAACGGAATTGGCTACGGCCGAGGCGGACACGACTACGTTCATGTTCATGGCGACGGTGTTAACGGCCATGTCCACATCATGGGTCCTGCCAGCAAAGGCCACTATGTCAGTCACTTCCACGGATACGACGGACATGAAGTGAAGCACATCATCGAGAAGAACTACTATGATGTGCAAACCAAGACCCACGTCATTCGGAAGCCCATCCCTGTCGCTGGACCGGTGCACTACGAATCCGTCGTCATTCCAGCCAAGCCACTCGAAGACTGCTTTCGTGGATACTCGAACTACAAGAAGCTCCTTGGCTGCTGCTGAGAACCTTTTCTTGTATTTCCTTTGCATCTTCCAAATAGGTAAAGTTGCCTTCTACATGCAAGGTTGTGGGACACGAAGAAGCAGCGATACTGCTGCTACAAGTACAAGCGGGCTTGCACAACCCAGTACGTCAAGCAATATCATTACCACACGGTGGTCCACAAAAAAGAGGTTCCTGTCGAGGTTGCCAAGACAGTCGCAGCTTGTCTTAGAGTGGAGGGGCTGCGCAACTGCGCAATGCAACCAAGGCAGCTTCTGGACGTGGTTTCTACTGCTTGTTTGGACAGGGTGAAGCTTTAAGCACGCTGGCTGTTTCACGCATGGCATCCAGTAGCAAGGCACTGTAGTCCATGAAAAACCCACTGCATGTGTCTGTGGAGTCGGGAACTCCATCGACTCTGCACGGGCTACAGGCAGTGCCGGTGGCGGCCAAGCGCAGGGTCATCACCATCCACGACCATGAAGAGCCAGAGCCGCGGAAGGTGCTCTCGGTTTCCGGGGTCTGAGAGAGGCAGCATCCAGAATAAACAAAAGCCCGCAGGACTACTGTCTTAAGACACGCCGTGAACTGCATAGGCCTTGATTGACAATCACAGCAAATCTAGTTCAGAAGGTTTTGGTGTTAGCTCCGAAGCCCCTCGCCAGCGGCCTGAAGTGCTGATGTAGGAAACAATGAAGAAAAATAGCTATCCAACGCTCGAGATCGATGAACAGACGATTGATCCCAAGACATTCGCAACCCCTTCGATGCTGCTCTCAAAGCCTTCCCGCAGGTGATCCATGTCAAGGCATCTCGGTCCTGCAAGCCGTGCATGCTTTCGACAGAGGTTGCTGCAGAGGGGTCTAGACTTCGAGACTTCGATCGGAAGCTCTGGCAACAGTGTCTGTCTTTCAGGTGCCTTGAGCCTTGCCGCCGAGGTACCCGTGCCCGTGCCTGGCCCACCAGCCCGAACCGTGACCAAGGCCGGGTTAACGGTTCGCCAAGTCGGTTCGGATCAGACCAAGAGAGACTCTTGGGCCAGCAGGAGAGGAGTCGCAGCGATAGGAGTAGCAGTGAGTGGCAGTAGTCGTAGTCGCAATTTTCGCAAGCATAGATAACGAGAAACTTTGAGCACAAAGGCAGAGGACAAGATGGACACTCCGTACACACGAGGTACAGCAATCCTGGGGGGAGGGGGAGAAGAACAGCTTAGGACGATGTGAATCGGCGCAAGGTAATCCTTGGCACACACGCGGCACCACCAACAAACCACAATCGCTCAAAGAACTCGGGGCAGTCATGGCATCAGCATGTTGCCATTGGGAGCTTCCGGCCTGGGCATGTTGGAAAACGATCTGTGTTCTTCCGTTGTTGGTGGTCACATTCACTGGGTGTCGAACCGGCACTAGTAATCATGCTCTTGACCATGGCCTCTCTGGCATCACATAGAAGTATCGCAGCCTTCTGGTTACGGTTGTCTCGTGCGCATCTTGCCTTGTCCATCGTTTTGTAGGGTGCTTTCACTTCCTTAACATGGTCTGGTTGAGTCTGAGTGGCTGAGCATGATGCCGCTACTTTCTGGCTCTCGGAGGTGATTCACTACGATGTGCCCAAGCCGGAGACGAAGATCATTCACAAAACCAAGGTTATCAAAAAGCCTGTGCCGGTCGTGCACTATGTCGATTACCCCGTGGAGAAGGAGAGCCGGCCTGTCCCCACCAAACCCGAGCATCAGTTATTTGCTTCAGACCGGCACCAGGAGAGCAAACCGAAGGTGGTGATCGAGACCAAGCACGTGATGTCCGAGGCTTATGATTGCCACGATGGTATGCACCACTGGAAGCTTGGCCGAAATATGAGCATCTTCAGGCTTTCGTTTTCTGGGGTGTCGGGCTTTTCGTCCATTCGGGGGGAATCCGGTTCTGGCATTGTGCATTCCATGTTCGTCTCGTGAATGTTCTGTGCTGGTAAACGGGATATGTTGCGGACATGTATGCTGGCACGCATAACTCCGCAGAGGATGGAAAGCGGAGGACATTGAACGCCTTACCTGTGATGCCCTCTTTCTCTGTAAAGATGTCTCCTGGGATGCTGTGCATGCTGTGCACGTATCAAAGCCTTCGATGCTGCGCTTGGAGTCGGGGTGTCAGTTCAGAGACATCTGAGGAAAGGAATGTGGTCCCACAGCAAGCGGTTGCTGACCTGATCTTGAGACTCAGCACGGTAGTCTTATCATTGCGGTTACTTGCCATATCACTTGTCCACGAAACTATACCAGTTTAATTACAGCCGATGGTAGTTCTGATGCGAGTTCCAGTGCTAATGTAATGACGCCAATGCTCATACTTCAAGCCTGCTACTAGTAATACCACTGCCTGTGAATGGGATCGTACACCATTCAGGGTTAACAACGTGCACTGCCTTGCGAGAGCCAGCACTGTGCACTGCGGGCTCCGCAGTCTGTGCTCCAGACGCTATGCTGGGCAGTCTGTGTTTACTCTAGACGATGCTGCATACAACTTCTTCAACATTGATCTCCCGGCTACAAAATAGATCACGAACTCGATGCCACTATGCCATAATATATTTGGGTTAGGCTCATCAGATACGGTCACATAGGCTTACATGCATCAAGAACATGTTGGAAAGACTAGAGAAGTTCGAGCTGAGGTTCCTTCCGGTCTAGTTCTGATTACCTGTCCACTCATCGTACGAACAGCTCTTTCTTTGTTGATGTTTGATTACTTTTGCTGCAGCCGCCCTGGCGACGCCTTCAATGTCTGTGGGCCGGTGCGACAAGCCGATGACAATGCGGAGCACGAAGTAACTTCACAAGTGCAACTAGTGGAGGAGACCCTAGGCGCTTAAGCTGAGACCGAAACTGCTCGATGCAGAACCTCGCAACAGATAACTGAGACTCAGGTTGTACTGCTGTTGGAGGAAGCAGATCGGCTGCCCTCATACTCATATCATTGTCAAGAACAAAACCGCGCCTTGGCGTTGAACTCTACCCGGGTTTTGTGGGAGATCCACGACGGGTGGACAGATAGATGTGTTTCAGGGGTTCCAGAGTTGAAGTCCTGAGTCCTGGGCGGAGTTTCAAGGCTACACTACCCGGGATGTGCCTGCTGCCTGGAGAGAATTTCTGCTCAGATGCCGATGAAAAGTACTAAGGAAGTCCACACCAAGTACGTCAAGCGCAAGGTGCCGATGCTGCGTAGCATTCAAGCCCCTGCTTTCAGTATGCAGAAGACACGAGGTGGTGATGCCCGCGCAGATTATCTACAAGGATGTCACGGACGTGGTCCACAAGCACGTCCATTCCCTTGATTTTGATTGCAACTCGGGATACTCCAACTGGTACTACGGCTGGTCTCCGAGTCTTGGGCGTTTGAAACTTTATTTAAGGCTTTCCGACTTTCCGGGCGAGATGTGATTTCATGAAATAGCAAGAAGCAGTGGCCCGTTGTTGTCACATTTCGAGGAAGAAGAAGACGTGGTGCTGCCACCAGGAGAAATTGGGCTGCCCGGGAACATGGAAAGGATTCATCAAGGGGAAGGCAACATTGGTCCTCCATCACCATGAAGGCACATGCAGTATTCGGCAGGTATGTTTGCTTCTGCTCTGCTTGCTCTCACATCGCTCTCCTGAGCTTATCAATCCTGCCGATCGATCTTCCATCTGTGCACAGCTCCGTCAACACTCACTACCGTACTTTTGCTTCATGCATGCACTGATCAGACCAGTCTCGCTCGTGACGGACTCTTCAGCATGCTGCTTCTCAAATGGATTTGGCATCATGTGTAGCTTTGATTGTGGTGCCTGTGCCTGCGCGCGCACATGCAGAGTGCGTGACTGCGCTGGCTGTGCGCACAGAAATCATTCACTATACTATAATCTAATCTTCAATATAGAAGCCAGTCCTAGGCAACACTCGATGCTGATTTTCATTGCTCTTAACTCTTGGAGGTCATGCCACAGGGACTCTTTACGATTGTGATGCCGGATTCTCCAACTGGATTCATGGTTGGTCGAACTCGAAGAAGGACGGTGCGGGATGGCGTAGACTGGCTCAATCCCTTCGGCCCGAAATCCCACGCTTGCCAGGACTGGTGTTGCGAGAACGAGCATAAGGGCTGCGCGCCGTACCACTGTGACGGTGAGTCCGACGACTGGTGGGGGCCTTTGTTCACAGGCTCTGAAGCGTCAGCTGCGATGTCAACCAATACCAGGTCCAGTGAACACCGCGAATGGTGTTGCGGAAACTTCCAGAAGGGATGTGCCTGGTTCTGTCTGGTCAGCATGCTTTCCCTTGTTTTTCCATCGTTCTAAGACGAAACATGGATGTGTCGGTCTTGCACATGCGGAGAGGCGCTGTTACCACTCTCTCGCCTTTGGGCTGCGATGCACCTTGCACCCTGTCTGCGCCGGAGTTGTGTCTTGGAACCGGCTCGTTGCTCTTGGGCTGGGACGGCGGGAACTCTGCGGTTGCAGGGTTGTTGCTGAAATGCACGATTTCAGTCGTCAATGCGAGCAGCCGAGGCACTCTCCACGGCGACACGTCCACATGCCAAGAGCGTGTCGACTGGACGAAGGAGAACACCTTCGACGGACGCGACAATGCGTGTGCACTGGCCTACAGCCAGGCAGCGGCTTCACACACAAATCGAAGTTCTGCTGTCCTCCCAGTGTCGTCGCCTCGGCTCGTGATCGTAACGTTACCGACTTTACCATCCTCTCGTGATACCTGGCTCGACTAGTTGAATGCTCGTGCATCGGTCTTTGCGAGGCAGGTTGGCAGGCCAACACAAGACATTTGTAATGTAGGGATGCTTTGCGTAAGTATTTCACTATGACTGCTGGGTCCTTGTGCCGGACGGTCTGGGCGTTCAATGGATGCGCTGGTGCATGAGTATACTCATCATCCGCGAGACCTCTGAAATTGCCACTGTTGCGAACACGGCCACCTCCAAGTCGGCCCAAACCTGACCGGTGGAAGCCCGAAGACTGAAAGCGCACTTCGCGCGAGGTGCAGGTGGAGTGTGATGTTTGCCGCGCCTGCAGTGTCGAGGCAGCTGGGTGCCAGGCCATCCGGGGAGATGTGGTAAAGATTCAGATGGCTGTGCCTGGCTCACTACTCCTTGGATGAAAGGCCTATAGACACAGAGCGGTCTAACAGACGCATGTTTTCAAAGGCTTTGTCCGTTGACGGTTAGATTCTGACTCAGATGCTGCAGCAAGCCACCACAACTGTACTCGCAGCTTGTGTGCCGCAAGCCGTGGGACACGGAGCGGGAGCACACGAATTTTGCCACTCCGCCCCCCCCCCTCCGCAATCCCCATAACAGTGGAGGAAACTGCGCCGTCCCGGAAGCTCTTTAAGTTTGCTGGCGAAGCCCAGCAGACCTCGCACTCCTTCCATACCTCCGAGCGAGGTGGCGCACGGTTCCGCCAGCGATCCCTACGACTGCAATGCAGCACTGAACAACTTCTTCAGGGCTTGGTCACCTGCAAAGAAGCCGCCCGGAGAAAGGGTGTGGGAGGGTTTTTGTTTGCGATCTGGTCTGAGTTTGTACTGCCGACCGACCTTCCGGACACCACCCGGTAGAGGTTTAGGCCTAGGTTTCTGGCGTCTGAGCATGCCGTCCTGAGCATGTCTTAGTTGTTAATCTTGCAAGAAGTCGCTCGCAGATATCTGACAGCGGCTGCTAGACCAAATGTCTGGTTCACATCTCAAAAACGTATCCTCCCTTGAAGTATGAACTTCCAGGTATTTCACTAGGATGCTATACGTAGCAAAGTAAGTACTCGCCGAAGAAGGCTGGTCGGAAAGGCGTTGACGCAAACAGTGGTCGCATCAGGTTTTGTCAGACCAGTAACACACGGTGGCTGAAGACACATGACGTTGTCGCAAAGTCTTGTCCGATTCATGTAGCCCGGAGGGGTTTCACGCAGCGGGTCGAAGCAGCTTCTGCAAGGCAGTGGTGCTGCAACAACCAGGGCAAAGGCTGTGAGGGTGAGCACCCACCATCGGTGGATCCGGGCGCTGGCATGATGTGGAAGCATGTCCAGGCAGGGAACATAGCCAACAGGAGCTCTGGTTTCCTCCTTGGGACCCTGCCTCTGGGTCTGCTGTTAGTGTTAGGTGGGCATAAGTAGGAAGCTCTGCAACAGCGCTCCATCTCTGGAAGCAAGAATGCGGGAAACCCTGCGTTGCAAGGAAGACTGCCCACTAAAAGCTTGAAGTCATGTCTTCTTCTGATCACCTGACTTGACCTCACGACTTGTCGCTCTGGCGCGAGTTTTGGTGCACGCTCCTTAAGTCGGATCCGGGCTCTTGCGCCGAGGATTGATAGATTTCATAGCTCAACAAGGCCAAACACATCAATCCTTTCTCACGGGCCTGTCAACTCTGACGATTTTTCAGTGACGCCCTCGAAGTTTAGCTTTTGCATCTGAAGGGTTGCGCTGACTAGGTTTGTAGTTTTACATGCTTCGCGTCGCCCGCCTCGGCCCCGGCTGCACATGTGTGCCGAATTGGTTGGAGGTGTTTGTCTCAGCAGCATCCTGAGTCTGCATCGCTCCCCGTGAAAAGTTGCTTTGCTGAAGAGGATTCTTGAGCCGAGATCTTGCAGGCGCCAAAAATCCAGCAGTCAGACTGTACAGGGGGTTGCCTCTGCGCAAATCCTCTGCATACAATTAGAAGCACCATACTTTGTAACTTTCAGTATCTTAATTTTTGGCCTAGACTCCAAACCCCTAACCCGGGTGGGTGGGACTGCCCTACAGAGAGCCTAAAACAATGGGAGGAGGCGAGATTTCACCGCAGGACCTGGGGGAGGGGGGGTCAGCGTGCCACTTTTCGGGGCGGGGGGTGAGGGATGAAGAGGTAGGGAATAGAGGGAACCCGTACAGGAACCTCTGACCGCTTCGGCCGGGGCCGAGCTGTTTTCGAGCCATCGACCAACTGTGCAGGTGAACGGGTACTGGACGTGGCAGGTGGTGTCTGTGGGAGGAGGTGCTGTGGGAGGGCCCGCAAGCCTTCCCTTCGACTGCAATGTCGGCCGCGTGAACTGGATGCAGGGTTGGTCCGAGCCGAAGAAGCCGCTCAGCTAAACTGGTCACAGGTTGTTTGCCTTGCTGGTCTCATATGCAGTGCTCCACACTGCTGGACCTAAGGACCTACTGCTGTGCTCACGCCCACTTTGGATGCCCCGGAGATGCTAGTGCAGCAATGGGACACACGGTGGTCACCCACCACACGTACACCACCGTAACACATGGTGGCGGTGGACACATGGTCGGCGGGCATATGGTCGCTGGACACATGGTTGGTGGACATGCTGTCGGTGGTGGACACATGGTTGGTGGACACATGGTTGGTGGACACGTTGCTGGCGGAGGTGCTGCGGCCATGCACATTCATGGCGGAGGGGGCGCGACATACCACACTCACACAGTGACTTACCACAGCAGTGGCGGTCACGTGGTGACTCACGTCCATCATTCGTGAGCCCGCACCGGAGGTTCAGGCAGGGTGTAAGCCCAAAGACCGAGAGCCTCCCGAAAGATTCCAACCTTCTCTCATCACGCCCCAGATCTTTCCTGGCACGTGTTTTGGCCACGGCGCCACGGCCTCAGGCCTTCACAGCTTTTGTTTCACAGTATAGACTCAGGTGGGCACTTTGGCATGAAGCGGCATGTCTTCAGGAAGAAGCGGCCTGAGCAGTTCGCAAAGCTCGGCCCATCGTCTCGTTAAACTGAGGTTGGCCGCGGCTCCGTGAATACTGCCTTCGCAGAAGGCTCTTCGTTTCGGGAGGGGCTGCCAACCATCCACTCCCAGAGTCGTCTCGAAGTTGTGTTCGGATGCATCAGCTCCCACAGCGTCTCTGTTTGAGGCCTCAGATTCAGGTCGGCTTGCTGCCATGAGTCTCGTAAGTGCACCACGACAGCCGGGAAGCAGCCCTCCGTTTTCCCACATAGAGTTCTCCTGCACGTTCGCACGCCAAAGCAGAACCGAAAGTGCCAGCCACCAGAAGCCATAAAATCCAGGCGCCTGGCACGGCCACACTTTTTGGTGCGCCTTGGGGTGAACGTGAACGGGCCTGAGCCATTCCTTGGAATCGTGGGCTTCCGTTTACATCTTGATTGTGGAAGGGGTTCCTGAGTACTGTCAGGCATCCAAACAGACAGTGACATCCGTTTTCTCGACGAGACAGATTTTGTTTGGAGTTCAGACAGAGTGTGAAGTCCGTGTGGTTCCACAGTGAAGTCCGGTTTCAGCACCTTTCAGCGGCGGTGCTCCCAAACTTGCAACTAATAATAGTCTGCTTCCAGTTTCATATCAGACGAGGTACCCGATTCCACCAAAGCCGTGGGCAGGAGTACCAATGTGCTTTGCCGCACACTGAGCTTTCTTTTGTTTCGTGGAAAGCTGGGCAGGGGCAGTTGAGTACGAGTTGCGACATCACACTGCTGAGCTTGGATTCTTCGGGAAGGATCCGAGTCATGCAGCATGGAACTAGGAGCTCTCTCAGCGTATCTTTCAGGCATGTTTCCACAGGCAACTCGCCGCTGCACCATGACATCATGCGTGCTTGTCGCTTTCTGACAGAAAGCGTGTGCGACAGCGATCTGCTTCGTCACCTGGCAGGCGTTGATGGCAACATCCTTACGATGGCTGCAGTGACGGCTTAGGCTTAGATCTCTCAGTTCAATTCTGGAGCCTTGTACACGTTCTTCTGTCGACCATGAGATATTGGACGGAAGACTAAACTCATCTGCGGGTCCCCGAGAAATTGCACATGCCAAACTCGTACACTGCCTTCTCATTGCATTCGCTGTATCTCCTCATGCATGTCTCTGGTTGTGAGCAGACTTGTAAGGGGGCCACACCATCAAGACCAGACAGACCGCGATTTCATTGATGGTACCGAAAACAGGGAAGATCTGAGACAGAACACGTCACTGGCTCCGATGGCTTTCACAGTGCGCAGCTCCAGCAGAACACCCTGGTCAGAAGCTACTCAGAGATCCTTCAGAGATCCTACTGTGTGCCTGGTAACTAATATGACAGAGGACACGGGGTTTGCGGATGTTTGCGGTTCGGGTGAGGAATCAAGCACCCTAGTGAATATGTATGTGTGCACGCATGCATGCATGCAATATGCATGGATGTGTGTATGCATGCATGCATGCATGCATGCATGGATGTGTGTATGTCTGTATGCATGTCTGTATGTATGTATGTACGTAGGTATGCATGTATGCGTGATTGTATGTAGTATAATATAGTGTATGTACGTATTTAATGTATGCAAGTAAGTAAGTATGTGTCTATGTGTGTATGCATGTCTCCATCATCCTCATCATCATCATCATCCTCACCATCATCATCAGTGTGATCAAGAGCATCTTTGTCGGCGCGATCAGCATCACTTCATTATGATCACTGCCTTCTTCATCACCATGATTATCATTCTCATTCTCTATTCTCTTTCTCTCCAGTCTCAGTCTCTCTATTCTTATTATCGTTTTCATTAACTGGTTCTGTTTTCAAACATGCATGTGTGCATTCACACAAACACATGCACATGCACGCACATGCCTTTGTGTGCATGCATGAGTACATGCATCCATGCATCCATCCACCCATCCACCCGCCCACCCATCCATCCATCTATCCATCCATCTATCCATCCATCCATCCATCCATAAACACATACATACATGCACACGCATACATTCAGACACACATACATGCCTATCATATAGCATGCATACATTCTTGTATTCACTTGACCTGGTGTCTTAATGTCGCGATGAGTGACGGGTCCATGCATGGCCGGGGCGTGTTCACTGCAGACATCTGCACAAGGTGTCAAGTGTTTTGGCTGGCATGTTTTTGTGTCTGTGCATCTACACAGACATGTACACACATGCGCTTATGGTTGTTTTTATATATGCATGCATACATAATATAGGGATACACACATACTCACATGCATGCTTGCATGCATACCTACCTACATACACATTCGTACACAGATGCGCATGCGCGCACACATACACACACACACACATACGTACAGGTATGCATACATAATGCATACATACGTGCATGCGCTACGTACATACAGCATGCATGCGCAGTTCCATCCATCCATCTAAAGGGTGCATACGTACACTGCTGCCGTCCATGCATTCATCCATCCCTCCATCCATGCTTGCATCACTGGGCTGATGACATCCCTATAGGCCTGAAGAATGTGCAAGGTTGGTGCATATATTGGCGAGCGCAGAGAGCAACCCCCGGGGGTGGAACGGCGCAGAATTATCAGGTGGTCTGTTGGACAACAAAGAATGTCCAGCTGCCGCCGTGCATTTAGAAGCTTGGCAGTGAGGACGGCCCTAGTTGGCTGTTTGTCCATCCATACATAAACATATATATATATATATATGTATGTATATGTACATCTTTTCACTTGCCGGTATGCAAACACATACGTACGGCCTGTACACATGCACATGCAGACAGGCACCGGCACAGCCAGATACAGGAGCGCCCGCCCCTCTTCAGAAGTCATGAAGTTTGGCCGCACACCGAGATAAATCGGTCCGGGCTTTGAGGAGTATATCAAACGTAAACACAATTCTTCCGGCCAGTAGCTTGACCTTCCCCACGACTGCGTGCTAGGATGGCCGCCCGTCACTGACCAATGAAGTGTAGTGTGCTCGCCCTGACCGAGTGGAAAGCCAGCATCCCGCTTGCCACTGCAGCAAGTCTGGTAAAGCTCACAAGGGACGGCAGTGACAGCCGGACCGACTTAGTCGCTGAAAACAGTACTTGTTTAAGCCCGCGGCTGTTGAAGCGGATGTTGGCTCAAAGCTGCTTTCACCCTTTCAGTGCTGGTGTTGAAACTAGAAGTAATTGATTGTGTGCACTTGTCGGGTGAAGCTCATGAGGGTTTGTGATGCAGCACAGGAGACCTTGTTTGGTTTCGAAGCGAAGTCTATTTGGGCGAAGGCCCAGACGAAGCTCGACGGCACTAGCATGTGCGGAATGTTTCACCGTCAAACTGCAGAAACAGGTTTGACCAGTGTCGCTAGGATCCAAAAACGTACTGCCATTGCTTCATGTTGCACTTCAGCTTTGCGAGCTACTGTGGGAGTAGTTGCCGCTTCTGGGCTTTAACCTTCGCAAGTCTTACTGGGGCTGTTTCGTGGGATGCCATTGCTTCGCCGTGCCGAGTGCCAAGTTGATGACAACCCGTGCCTGCCGACGTCCAACCCGTCTCGACTCCAGGTGTGCGCCCTGCACCGGTCCCCCCCAAAGCGAAGAGAACAAGGTACTCGTGGAACCCGGCTCGCCTTGTGCGGTCATGAGGACGGCCGGACGAGGGTGCAGCCGGCCGACAGGGAAGGCAACAGGCCGCTGCGAACCCACGGGCTCCGATTGCTCGTCTATGGCCCTCCTTGATTCGACAAAGTTCGAAAGACCACCCTTCACACATCCAAGTTTCAGGCTACCTGAGTCGCGAACTCATGCAAGTTTGACATTGTTTTCGAACGCGAGGCGACATATTTTTCCGTGGAGGTGATTTGGATGGCATGATGTGACGATGTTGATGCGATGATGTGGATGATGGTGAGGATGGTTATGATGTTGTTGACCTTCTGAGTTGTCGGAGCTTGCGTGAGGTTAACAAAACAGGAGGAATCTGGGGACGACCATGCGCAACAGATTTGTAATCACTATGTGGTGATGTGCATAAACTGCTTACGTGATACAAGTAAGTACCAAGTGTCTGATTCCAGAACCCAAGGAATCGCCAGGTTCACAGTATACAACCTCGTTTCACCGGCATGCGTAGAGGACTCATCGCAGCACACATTCCTGCTTGGCAGGCGTGGTTCACGTGCATGAGGCACGGCTTGACTTCCTAGTTTTCAGGCGACTTCTTCCATTTGTTTCGGACTGGGTGCCGACATCCAAAATTCAGTAGAGGGCATGAAAGTTCGCAATTGTGCCTTGGGGCCGGCCTGCGTGTTCGCAGCAGCGAGCGGCGGAGGGATGAAATCATCCGGATTTGGCAGCCCTCTCCTGCTCCGCGTAGCCGCGTTCGGTCCGATTGCTTCGTGTACCAAATTGACAACCTTGTCCGCGTTGCACGCATGTCCGGGTCCTTGGCAAGTGCGATCAATTATGCACTGGGCTGACGTTGGTCTCGAAACTACAGCCATCTGGGCGGAGGCATTGCGTGTCCGTCCATTGTAAATGACAATACATTGGCCTCACACAGGTCTCCAAATGACAACCTTTTCGGTGGAGGCGGTGTGCCCGCATCGTCCGGTGCAGCGCAATCAATTGCAAGTTCCGGTGGTTGAATCCCGCCAGTACATCGGGCTAAGGCTTTCGGTCGCGTGAAATCGCGTTGCGCGTGTGGTGCGGTACCGGTTCGCTGGCTCACGCCGGCAGGAGATCAACAAGCTCCAAGGAGCTTTTACGATTCAGGCCGCGTGCGTGCGCTTTGCTGCGAGTCTTTGCTTGCACAAGCCAGCGAGATTGAAGTTGTGCTGCGCAGTTTGCTTGGCGTACATTCTATTGTTGTTTGCTTTTGGTTTTTGTCCTATATATAGTTGTGTACTGCTCCTGTCTTACTGTCGTGTGTTGGCTCCGGCACAATTTAAAGTGAGCCCGGGCCATCTGTTGCTGAAAACGACTTTGGATTTCAGTGCGGTCTTTTACAGCTCGAACACAGTAGGTGAAAGGAATCATTCACGGTTACTCAAATTTGCTTTCTGGCAGTGCATGGATTCCCAGAAATCTTCATCATCAAAAAATGGCTGAGTCGAACTCAGAACTGGGTGCAGAACGCTCGGCCCCTGGGTCCTAAACCCTAAACCCCAAACGCTCTAGTCTGGCGGATCCCCAAAAGACACGAGGTCTTAAAAAAAAAAAAAACGCTCTAAACCCAAAGCTGCTCCGCTGAAGCCTAAAGCCGAAAGCCTGCAACATACAGTGCTCAGCTCCCTTGGCTGCAGCAGGCGCTGCGTTGGGCCTCCCGCTGGCGCCCAGCGCCTTTCGCGGCATCTGACTCCCGCCGACGCCCGGGCTTAATTTAGGGTTTAGAGGAACTCCTTACGGAATGGATTCACTTAGGCAAACCTCCGGGAGCAAAACCATCCTTTGGAACCAATAATTCCCTAGCTCGCGCTCTGGCGCCGCAAGGTCTCGAAAGACGATGCTGAAGTAAACAAAGAAAGACCACGAGAAACGAGTAAGTGCTGCAACGCGAGTTCCTGCGGAGGCCTGCTGCGTGGAACTTCCTAGTCATTTGGTGCTGAGTCCAAGCGCACATGCTCCGTCCAGGCAAAACATGAGAAGGCGGTAAGGCGGCCAAAAAGATGGCAAAGAAACTTAACAAGCAGATGGGCCGTGGCCCAAGCGGATGTGTGTGAGTTTAAGCAGCTTCTGCTTGCTAATTAAATTCAATGTCTGATGCCAGCAACAACTTGAGCCTTCACGAATGAAGATGTAGGTTTATTGGAGACGTCGTGGCCAAAGCAAGGCGCCGTGCACAAGGAAAAGCAAAAAACCAAGGCGCGCGGCATGCCGCTGGGTTGGTGCGTCAAAAAAGCAAGCAAAACCACATGTTTCCTGTGAGCATTGTCTGGCATCGGCCGTCGAGTTGCAC